AAAGACTATATGACTCATGTGTATGACTCTTGGGATAGGACCACGGACGAAAATTATGAAACATACGTATTAGGTGGTTTTAACAAAAATTGGTTTAACCAGGAAGATTCAGCGCTCTTAAGATCGTACGCTGACATTTGTGGTCTAACTCAAACTGTATCCGAAGCGACAAGAACAGTAAATACTGCTCGTTCTACAACAACAACATGCCTTCATCTTATATTCACCAATAGTCCTGAACAAAATATGTCTAATTGTAAAGTTATTTCTGTAGGTTTTACCGATCACGATCTTACGGTATTGTCGATAAAGTCTAAAATTCCCAAAGGACCTTCGAAAGTGGTTTACAAACGCAGTTATAAGCATTTTTCTGCAGAGAAATTTATTAATGACTTGAAACTTATTCTGTTCTGGTTGGTTGAATCGTCGGATGACCCTAATGAGGCACTTGATACATTTCTTAATCTGTTCAGAGATATTGCGGACATTCATGCCCCTATTAGGAAATATACAGTTAAATCAAAACCCGCTCCTTGGATAACTCAAAATATTCGCGACTTAATGTTGATGAGAGATGCAGCAAAACGTGAGGCGAAGGTCTCTGGTTTTCCTTCTGACTGGGCGGTTTATAGGAAATTGAGAAACCATGTCGTTAAGGTCGACAGAGAAAGCAAAAGAGCATACTTTCTTGAAGCTATTAATAATACCAAAAAAGATCCAAAGTCAATGTGGAAAACAATAAACAATCTGTTAGGTCGCTCAAATTGTCCAATACTGTCAATACCAACTTATGCAGAGAGAAATGGTGAAATTTACACAAAACCTAAAGATATTGCCAATCATTTCGCAAAGTTATTTAATGAAAAAATGAAGAAATATAGATTTGAGATGTCCAACCCGATAGATGTGGAATATGTAACTAAATCAATTACCGAAATAATGACTGGAAAAAACTGTCGGTTTGAGTTCTCATCTTTAAGTCTTTTAGAAGTTCACAGCTGCCTTGCCAAGCTTCCAAATACTAAAGTGACAGGCATAGACGGCATTGATAATTTTTTACTTAGAATTGCGTCGAATATTATAGCGGAACCTATTAGATACATTTTTAACTGTTCATATGCGAAGTAAATATTTCCTGATCAATGGAAAGTTGCTAAACTACACCCGATTCCCAAAGATAAGAAACAGCCTTTTGAAGATATAAATAGTCGACCTATCAGTCTTCTAAATGTATTAAGTAAACTGCACGAAAAATTTGCGCATAAACAAATCTGTCACTATGTCTCCGAACATAACTTAATGCTCAAGAATCAACATGCATATAGAATCAATCATAGCACTGAATCAGCACTTTTACATCTGACTGACAGTTGCCTTGACAACATGGAGAATGGTATGCTTACTGGTGCTGCTTTGTTGGACTTTTCAGCTGCTTTCGACCTGATTGATCATAATTTGCTGCTTCTGAAATTGAAATGTTATAACTTTTCAGATAATGCGATTAACTGGATCCAGTCGTATTTAAGTGGGAGAACCTCAACCGTATATATCAATGGTGCTTTTTCTAATCCCATCGAGATGACTTGTGGGGTGCCACAGCGTAGTTGTGTTGGCACACTGCTCTTCAGTTTGTTTGTTAATGATTTACCAACAGTCTTAACTACAGCTGATATCACCTTGTACGCCGATGATAGCACTCCGTTCCAATCTGGACATAACGCCAGACTCATATCAGATAAACTTCAACTTGACTTATCTAAAGTTGAATTATGGGTCTCGAAGAATCGTCTTGTTCTTAATGCTGATAAAACAAATAGTATCCTTATTGGAAGTCGGCAGAAGATTAAATCAGCTCCATCGCTTAACTTATCCATTAAAGATAAAATCAATGAACAACTTCCATGTGTAAAACTCCTTGGCGTCCAGGTTGACGAGAACTTAAGTTGGAAGCAGCATTGTGAAGATCTACTTAAAGATTGTTCCAAAGCTCTTGGCTTACTGTTCAAGTTCAGCAGATATATTCCATCAAAAGTTTTAAAGATTATCGCTGAGGCACTCATACCATAGAATATATAATAGACCAGAAGCCTCACTGTACACCTTTCCTTAACATTTTCGTGTCCGCGATTTTTGACTTGCGGATCACGAATTTCGCACGCTAGATGACGTGTGTGACACTTGCTGCGAACATCACGTCAGCGTTCGTCAGCAAAACGGTTAAAACAGCAATCTTTATTACCTGGTAATGGCAATTGATGGCGTAATTGCTCGCGTTTGATGGCGTGGATTAGACTTGCTGGCTTGCGCCTGCGCATAAAAAATCTCGGACACAATTTTGGCTGAGTGAGGCTTCTGGTCTATTTTCTATTCTGTGCTCGTACTGTCAAAATTGAACTATTGTTGTACGGTTTGGGGATCTGCGCAAAATCAAGAGTCGATTAATAATTTACAAAAACTTCAGAACAAGGCCGCCAGATTGATCCTAGGATATAAGGTTGATGAAATATCTAGGGAAAATCTCCATGATGAAATAGGTTGGTTAACAGTGAGACAAAGGATTCATGTCAGAACCTTAAAGGCCCGTTTACACTTGCAATTTCTGCTGCGATTTTAGGTGCGATTTTCTTCTTCTGATGGATGTGAACGAGTGGATGAGTTATAAATGTTGAGATGGGGGTACATCAGTGGGACATATACTCAGAACATTCATAACTTATTCACTCATTCATATCCATCAGAAGACGAAAATCGCACTAGAAATCGCAGTAAAAATTGCAAGTGTAAACAGGCCTTAATGGCATTGCATAATGTACTTTATTCTGGTGAACTAAATGCAATTTACGTGAATTTTAAACCATTTGAAATTACTCATGAACACAATACTAGATTTTCGTCGAGGTGTCGAAGTGATAATATGTTGTTAGGGAAACCTATGTTAAAGAAGAAAACCTTTTTAGCTCGGGCTTTTAGGACTAGAGCTATCCGTCTATGGAACAATTTAGACTATACTATAAAAATCATATCTTCCAAATCCATGTTTAAGTCTTAAGTCTGCTGTTCTTAAACAGCTAGACTGGTTCATATAATTATTTTTAACTATTTGAACTTTTAACGTATTTTAGTATTTTTTACGAATACCTAGATTTATAGACTTTTTATCTTGTAGGGTAATCCTGTTTTTAAGACATCGTGTAAACTAGCGTTAGCTAACAGAGGTTCTTTTTTAAATACAAATACAAATACAAAAAGGTTACAAAATATATACACAAAATATATACATGTACTATACATTTGTATGTTCTCACATGGATTACAAAATATTCTCACTTGGATTACAAAATATATACATGTATATAATCTCACTTGGATTACAAACCCTAACATTCTAATATTAATTCCACAAATGAAGTGCAAGAATCCAAATTATTAATTTCAAATGCCCCGCCATGCAAGGCTGAGGTACGAGTGGAAATGCCCAACCCCCTGGATGTGCTTTACAGGAAAATGGCTGCGCGATGGCGATGGGCACACTTGGATTTGGGCTGATGCATTAAAAGTCCTGTGCTAATTCCAGACTGCTTGTCAAATATTTACTTGCTAGAAGTAGAAATTTACTCTGACCACTGGATGAAGAAGACATTAAATAAGTACTGGTCAATAAACAGAAATCTATTTTATTTCATATTATTACAATTTTATTTTTATACTATAAAAATAAGATATAAACATGTAGCATTGAATATGCAAATTCGAGGCAAAATTATTGTTGAATCGGTTTATTTATAGGATTTTATAACAAATAGCAACTATAAAAGTTTGTACCTTGTCTTCACATCGCTTTATTCTGTTAGCCAATGCTTTTAAATTTACATATTTTAGCACCAGTTCCTTTCCTGGTAACTGCATTTGTAAATGAAATCATCGTGAGTAGTGAGTGCTGAGTAGGCCGTTTTACTATAAACAAATTTTAGGAATTGATAACAACTTTCAAAAATATATCGTTGAACATTCGGTCACAGTCGGAAAAATGTTCGTAGTATGTTGCACCGTCGCTTGCAACTAACGATGAACAGTCGCTCATAAAAACGTTCGCGCGATTAGAATCTTCAATGTTTGTCAAGAACAACATCACTTAATTGTTGTTTCCCATGTATACAATAATAAGTAAAAAAACTTTGTGTGGTCTGAACGTGTTGGGCTAGAGACGTACTGGAAACTTTTACAGGCTTTTTCATGAGAATAGAGAATGTTTTATTCGCAACTATTCACCCTTAGTTGCAACCGACGGTATTTGACCGCATAAAATTGACTGTGGCTGTGATGTGTGATAACTGATATAAATAAAATACAGTCTGGTTATACTGACTTGAGCGTGTCATGACAAACTCTTTATTGGCAAATTGTGAAGAAATAGTCGAATATAGAGGGTCGAATATCATACTTCAACTTGTATAGCTACAGTATCATTGGTACATAGCCTTGTGAAGACAAGCTTTTGCTTACCTTTCGCTTCAGCAGTCTTTTTTTCATGCTTCTCCACGCTTTCCCAGGCGAGCTTCTCTTTCCTCAGCAGTCTCCTCGAGCAAACGTTGTCGTATTCGCTAGCTCCCCCCTTTTCGCTAAACGTTCGGCTTTCTTGTCGTTTCCTTGCCGCTCTTCACTTGGCACCATACAGTAGTCCATATCTTTTCAATTAGTATTTGATACCGTAATTGTTTTATTAAACTTTTTATAGAACAAATTGCTTTGAAAGCTGTCAAAGTGTTTTGCAAACGTACAAAATACTGTAGTGCAAAATGCAAATTATTTTCATGAAGTATCTGTCAGTTGAAGTCGTCATTTGTCATACAACAACAAATTTTAAATTTGACCAATCAGTGTTCGCTATCCATGACAGTCCGCCATATTTTTGAGATCAGCGAGGATGACCACCCACGCACAGTGACCAACGCCGCGATATTTGATGAACTTTAGACTTGGCTAATGCTTTCGTTTCCCCGGGTGTAAATAGACGGGGGGAATTAGTACCCTCGCACGGCCCTTCGCGCCGCCGGCTCGTGGATAAAGAGGATATTGGACGGTTGCGAGGAGATATGAATTTTATGTTCGAGTGGCAAAACAATTTCTCACCAGTGAGCGTAGGAAACTAGTGAGATATTTTTTTGATACGAGAACATAAATCTATTTATTTTTTCCGGTCCGTAATCCCAATTCCGTAACGTAAATGGGGCGTTCTGTCAGGTTGACGAGAAGTCCGTATCACACGATAAGGACCTCTCGCACACGTTACGGACCACTCGCGTTTTGCGCTAGAACAAACCGAGGAGTGAGGACAATTTTCAAACTGAAAAGCTTATCCAAAGAGGTGAAAAATCTTCCCTATCGATGCTAAAGATAGAAAAATTAGCTGAACTGATTCAATATATTTTGTGTCAAGACCGAAATGTTCTTTTATTCGATATAACTGGGGAAAAAATACGTATTTCTTTGGCATATAGATATCGAAATATCAGTGCTGAATGTTTAGTTTTAAATGCTCAGTATAGGTTATTTTGAGGCAACGAGTGGATATGCGTTTTATTTACCGAGGCGCGCAGCGCCGAGGTGAATAAACACATATCCCCAAGGTGCCTAAAAATAACGTACTTATTTTTCACATTGCAAGCTCGCGTTAATTAGTCAGAACAGAAATAATTCTTAATGCCATGTTTTCTTCGTTATGTTGTTTTTTCTCATTTTTTGTGCTGCAAAGACATTGCAGGTGAATATTAGAGGGGATTATTAAACGGAAATTGATTAGAGGGGAATATTGAATATATTCCCCGATATAAAAACAAAGGAAACCGAGCAGGGTGAAAAATAAGTATATCCAGCTACACTTCGAAAATATATACGTTAAAATATAAATACTGGAACGAAGGACCTGTCTTCAAACATAAAATTAAAAAAAAATACTTGAAAACGGCAGTTTAAATATTATTTCTACATGCACTTATTTCTGTCATATATTTTTTTGTAAATGTTGTCATGAAGACAATATTTTCGGCCAGCACAAGTTGTTGCTGCGTGTCGAAAGAACAGTTTTGAAACATGTTATTAGGCTAAAGTGATTAGGAAAATAAAATAGTTTTAATCGCTTTGCCTTTTTATTGTCTTGTTGAGTTGAAAAGTATCTATTGCATAAAAAATAAAGGCTTTTTATCGTCTTGTTTTAGCAAGATGTCAGCCATGCTTGGAATATTATTAAAGCACTGACGATTAAACAAACAGAACTGGTCTCAAATCCAGTTCGCGACACTGGAGTTTAGACAATTCATTTAGAATCGAGCAAAAAATAAATACGTTATTTACCGGTGATGTCGGTCCCTATATGAATAATATTTCCCCCCGGTCTCAGAAGCGTCCCACAACATTCGGTCTCGAGACCTCGGAAAATATTTTTCAGTACGGATCTCCCAGCCGGTAAATAACATATATATAT